CAATAAATAGGCTAGAGAACAGTGAGGAGCAAAGTGTAGTAGAGGGGATAGTAGTAGGAATAAGAACTGCAGAGGGCCTATTGGCCCATACGAGGCAGCTCCTATTATAACCACCGAATGAGAAGGAGATAGTAATAGGAATAAGAAGAGGACAGTAAGGGAACGGAAAGAAAACAATGAACAGAGAAGAGAGAAAGAAAAGGAAAGAGAAAGAAAGATAAATGGAAGGGTAAGCTTATGTTAAGTAACGTTTGTTAGAAAGAGTAGAGCATTTAAGTATATACTGTGAAAGGGAAGAGTCCACAGCAACAAAGCCAGGACTCGAGTTCATGTTGGGTACATAGTGTACCCAACAGCCGATTCAACAAGACGGCGTCTGTGTAGAGTAGAAGCAGGAAAGATTATTTTGGAGGAAGACCAATCAGTATGATGATTGGAATCCCTCAAATGACAGAAGAGAGCATTGTTAGTGTCTGCAGACTTAACACTTTTCTTGTGTTCTTTAAGTCTGTCATTCGGTGTACGGCCAGTTTCGCCAAAGTATTGGAGAGGACAAGACGAACAGGAAATAGAGTAAACACCAGCAGCATTAGAAGCAGGAGGAGCAGTATGAACTAGATTGCTACGAAGTGTGTTAGTTTGTCGAAAGGCGAGCTTTATGTCAAGAGGACGAAAAGTATTGGTAAAAATTTTGAGTTCAGATATGAAGGGAAGGCATAGTACAGTGCTACTAGTGTTGGAAGCAGGTTTAGGATGAAAGAAATTTCGTTTAGCTTGAGAGTAGGCACAGTTGATGAAATACAAAGGGTAACCAAGGCGAGAGAATGATTTGTAGATAAAGGCAATTTCAGAATCAAGAAACTGAGGGTCGCTCAGGCGTAGAGCGCGGAGGAAGAGAGACACGAGGACACTTTTCTTAACAGAAGGAGGATGGTAGGAAAAGAAGTGAATGGACATGCCATTATGCATGGGTTTGCGGTAGACAGAGAAAGAGAAAGTCTGTCTACCGCAAACTGTTATGATCTCGGCCTGCAGGAGAAACGAGTCTCCCTCCTTGAGAGTTATTCATCAAGCCTGACCTAACCAGAAGGTCTAAGAAATATAGAGGTGATAACACACATGTAAAATAGCTGGTTGGATATGATAAACAATTTAAGATTATGGGCAGTGTAGAAGAAAACAGATAAATGACTGGCTAGGAGATGTGGACATTTTGCTGGAGGCGTGAGGCTCGCTTCTGGAGGGCTTTGACCTCACTTGAGGCCAGACATCGCAGGGGGAAAGCCGCGCTCCGTTGAGCTCCCGTCAGAAGGGAACCCCTAGTGATATATCTCGAAGAGAAGAGAAGTGTGCAGACGTACCAGCTGTGGAATCGAGTTGGGGACGTGTGGTCTCAAGTCGTGGGCGACGAGGAGTGTTTATTAAACCGCCCAGAGGCATTATTGTGGGCCGTGGAATCGCCCTGACCAAGCTTCGTCAGAAGGAGGAGCGCCCTCGACCAGACAATCTGTGGTAAGCACGATATACGCCAGTTCATAGTAATTGCTTGTAGTTGGTCGTGTGCCCAGCGACAGTAGCAATGTTTATTGATAAGTTAGACATGTTTTGATAAGGCAGAAAGCCTAAAATAAGAGAGTGGAGAGGGAGGAACACGGAGCGACGTCTGTCCCCTCTGAGCGCTGGCAGGCAACTGAGGGAGCCCGGCTCCTGATGGTGGAAGACCCTTCCAGCGTGAGTGAGGACCACCGCCGGGCGAGGTGGAGTATGGACCCGCCCAAAACGGGGGAGTCCACTCTCACTGTATGTAGAGGACAGATAGAGGTTTGAGGCAAACATATTGTGTGATTATTTTTGTTTATTTGTTGAAGGGGAAACATTTTTATTGGAGTGTCGATGGGTTGCAGGTTTGTCTTTGGGGGAGAAGTTGCTGAGAACTTCGAAGCCAGCACAGATGAAGTAGTTGATGAGACTCCAAGGTAGTGGAGCAGAGGACCTCGAGCTGTGAGGAGAAGCAGTGAAGAGGAGTGTCACGTGCTTCTGTAGAGGTGGTGAAGCACCATAGTTGCTCGAGGAAACTTCATGGTGTAGCAGCCAAGAGAGCTTTGGAGGAACCTAGCAGAAGGGTGAAGCACCGTAGTTGCTCAAAGAGAACTTCATGGTAGCAGCCTGGAGGAGCTGCAGAGGATCCTGGTAGTCAAGCCCAGAAGAACCTGAAGATCAGGGTAGTGAACTTCCAGAGGTGGAAGGGAAGTTCTGGTGGATTACTTGTAGGGAGTTGATAGTGTTTGGTTATCATTAGCGTGCAAGGCGCAGTGAGAGGTGAGTGATTGTTTGCATTATGTCAAGGAGCGTTTTATACTGAAGTTTAGAGTTACAGTCGTAGGCTGGATTACCTACAGATGTATGTATTCTAGGACTGATAGGGTGATCGATTGATCATTGCGGTGTAGCAAGGAACATTTATGCTGATATATGTTATTGCATTCACATGCTGATTTTCATTGTACACATTTCTAGATATATATATATATATATATATATATATATATATATATATATATATATATATATATATATATATATATATATATATATATATGTCGTACCTAATAGCCAGAACGCACTTCTCAGCCTACTATTCAAGGCCCGATTTGCCTAATAAGCCAAGTTTTCATGAATTAATGTTTTTTCGTCTACCTAACCTACCTAACCTAACCTAACCTAGCTTTTTTGGCTACCTAACCTAACCTTACCTATAAATATAGGTTAGGTTAGGTTAGGTAGGGTTGGTTAGGTTCGGTCATATATCTACGTTAATTTTAACTCCAAAAAAAAAAATTGACCTCATACATAGAGAAAAGGGTTGCTTTATCATTTCATTAGAAAAAACTATAGTAAATATATTAATTCAGGAAAACTTGGCTTATTAGGCAAATCGGGCCTTGAATAGTAGGCTGAGAAGAGAGTTCTGGCTACTAGGTACGACATATATATATATATATATATATATATATATATATATATATATATATATATATATATATATATATATATATATATATATATATATATATATTCCTCTTGTTGATAGTGCAACAGTGTATGTAGACTTGATCTACTTGAGGAGGGTGATAGTATCAGGTGGAGAACCAGGAGATAGGATACCACTTGATAAGCTGATGATAGAGTTCTGATGGTGTTGGAGAGCAACCTGATTGTAATAGTATAGAGTATAGGATTCATTATTATTATATGTGTATATGTATTGTGTATGTGCTCTGTCCAGTAAATGTATTCCAATTTGCTGGTGTGTGCCCTTGTCCTAGTGAGGCTTCCCAGGAAATAGTAAAGAAAGAGAGAGAGAGAGAGAGAACCAAGAACCACCGCTGTGGACAGGGTAGGATGGAAAATTAGTAAGTCAAAGGGGATTGAGGAGATCATATCACATAAGGAGAGAGTGGGGGAAGTCACAGCGGCTCGAGTGGGTGTGTGCACGTGACAACGAGGCTAAGTGTTGGAGCCGCATCCCCTAAACGTGTGACGTTGAGCCCCTCTCCAAGAGCCAGAAGTGCCAAGGGTGATCTCCTAGAGAGGTGTAAGCACTCTACCGAGTTGTGGGTTGGGTTGTCCGTAGAGAAGGATCAACGACGACAACACCAACCAACCCACAAGACTATAATAAAACCCATGCATAGTGGCATGCTTCTGTTGGGTAAACAGAGGCTACAGTTAAAGATTGGCGCCCAGTAAATCCTCTCCGGCCAGGATACGAACTCAGGCCAAATCACTCGGCGAAACGCCAGGCGAGCGTCTTGCCACTTTGCCACGGAGACTGCATGGTTTCGAATCATAGCCTCGAGCATGGCTATGATTAAAAAATTATGTAGAGGTTTTGTTAGTATTTGACTTGTACGATGTGAACTTCACAGCCCATTGTTTTGACAATGGGATGACATTGAGGAGTCAGTGTCCATATTGGTCCCTGCTGAGCCCTCTGGACCCTCAGTGGTGACTTCTATGTACTTACCAAACTACCTCAGAGAGTCGTTGCTGTTGGGTATACAACAGGATAAATTGTCATTTCAACACCAGGGCTATATCACTTTTAAGCAAAACGTCCTCCTACCACCGTAACCGGCGATGGGAAACTGCTCTGGCGAGGTTGCGTATTGGCCATACTCGCTTTACCCATGGTCACTTGATGGAGCGCCGCCCTGCTCCTTATTGTCCTAGTTGCACGAGCGTGTGTCTTGCTTTCCGATCACCCCTCGCGGTCACCTGTCCCTCAATAGAATTCTTGGTGACTCGGATACTTTTGATATCGTTCGCCTTATGCGTTTCTGTTCTTGTATTGGCATCCTTGGTGATATTTAGCGCCCTCTGATTATTCTGCGCATTTGATGGTGCTACATAGCCTTCCCGGTTTGGTGCCTTCTTTTGATAATTACTTACTTACTTTTAAGCAAAACGATAATTAAATTTAATATAAAGTCCTACAGACGGGTTTTAAAATGTGGGATATTGTCTTCAGATGTAAATATTTTGGGTGGCTTTAAACATTATCATTGGTGATAATTTTGTGAAATGATTAATTATATTCAATTTGATTGCAAGTACAGCCTTTAAATATCTGAAAATCTCGCGGATGATGTGTTTTTAGGTATTTGTTGCCGCGACTATTCCCTGAGAAGTATTCACCTAGTTGTGCTTGCGGAGGTTCAGCTCTGGCTCTTTCTGCCCGCCTCAACTGTCAATCAACTGATTTTTTTGCACACGCACAAGGAAGCAGCCGGTAGCAGCTGTCCAACTCCCAGATACTACTAGGTATCTGGGAGTTGGACAGCTGCTAGGTAACAAGGGCATTGTTTTCGCATCGCCAGGGATCGATCCCCGGTCCCTAGGTCTACTAATCCAGAGTGCTGTCCATGACACACGTGTTATGATGTGAGTTGTGTGAGCACAGCTGCTAATGTTTCTAAACTTTACCCCTATGTTTACAGAATCGTGTGGTGACAGAGCAGCTAAGGATGGTACTGGACGGCATGGCAGACATCCAGGTCTTCGTGAGTAAACGTGTGGTGTTTCCGGATGAAATCTGTGAAGCAGTCATCCAGGTTAAGGCTGGCAAGATTCGCCACATCGCGAGACACAGCACAGACGTTACGACGTTCTCCCCGAGTCAGGTACTAATATCTTGTGATGTGTTAGGTTGGTAGCCTTGGTTCTTATCATTCTGTAGAACGACGTAGACGACATGTAGAGAAACGGAAGCCATCGAACTAAAGCTGCCAGGCATACAAAATCCAGGAGAGGCAAAGAGAAGAAACCCAAAATATTTCTTCTATGCAAAGTCTGAAACAAAAACTACATCTAGTATTGGGCCCCTGCGCAAGGGAAATTGTACTGCCATTGGTGTTGGCAAACAAACGAGTGAATTACTAAAGACTACAGTAGGACACGGTTTTCAGTGATCCATTAAGTACACTGAAGGTCGGCAACCCAAATGAATTTTTCACGAACGTGACGCCAACTTCGACTTGTATCAGATGTCATCCTAACTCTATTGGACTTTGAAATATCCAGACAACATGGCCATGGAAAAAAATTTAAAAGCTCTAATCATCATTCGGAAACGAAACCTGGGTACTGGTGTTATCCCCGACATATAAACAGAAGAGATTGTGCAATTCCACAAAGGGGGTAGAATTTGGCATCTGCAAATAGTAAAGCAGATCCCAAAAATTGTTGCCTGATTGCATTAATATCGAACTTTGAAAAATTGCTAATAAGCGAGAGTCGCAGACTCCAAACGCATGGAGTCTGAACATGTACATAACCCTGGACAACGTGTTTAGAGCAGGACGCTGCTGTCTCACAGTTGCAAAACCATTATGACACGGCTTTAGATGCCATGGAAGGCGAACAAAGTTCCAAAGTAATACACAAAATCTTTGCAAAAGCATTCGATAAATGTGACCGTGGCGCTATTGTACACACAAAAGAAATTGCTGGCAAAATAGGCAGCTCGATCTTTAATTTCCTAATGACCAGAACCCAGAGAGAAATGGTCAGCAAGGTAAAATCTGGATAATTCGGCGTGAAGTCTCCCGAAGCACTGTGCTTGATCCAGTACTTTTTCTTATTCTCATGTTGGACATAGACAAAGACACAAATTATAGCAAAGTATCATCCTATGCAAATGACACTAAGATTTTTATGAGTAACAATATAGACGACACAGCAAACCTCCAAACTGATGTAAATCGGGAATGTCAATGGACCACAGAAAATATGATGTTCAATGAATACAAGTTCCAGCTCCTCCGTTATGGTAAAAACGAAAATATTAAAACGGAAACCACATAAACGTGCAGTCAAATCACTCTGGAAAGAGAAACAATTTCAAAGTTTTGAGAGTAATCATGTCGGAAGACCTTGGTTTGCAGAGAAGACAGTAAAGGTGCTGTCCCAACCGCAAGAAAAAAACTGGTTGGATAACAAGAACCTTTCAAACAAGAGATGCTACACCAACGATGGTACTTTTTGATACACTAGTGCTCTCTAAGGTGGAGTATTAGTTTCATATATGAAACAATAATGGGATTGTTAGTGTGCAAATAGTGTTGCACACTAACAACCCCATTGGAAGCTATAGAAATCTAGATCTGAAAAAGGTGTAGAGAACTCTTACTGCCTGATTTTTTTCAATAAGACGACCAACCACATTACTAGGACCGCTTAAAATATCTTAAAACTGAACAAATCCACAAGGGCCTTGATGAGGGGTTCCTATTTGGCATATCACGCTATTGTGATTTGTGTGTATCTTAAACTGTTTTCACTAGTGACTTAAAGAACAGGTGAAAAAGCTGGATAATAATTTACTTGAAAATATTAAAGATGGTTCCAAATCTGCACGCGGAAATAACTTCACGAGACCAGGAGGCATGGCAGAAAGTGCAAAATATCCCCGTTGTAAAGTAGAGGTGCAATAGATACTCTGAGAGTCAGTTCTATTAAAATCCCAAAACTTTCAACACTCTATAGATATCATGCCATCTTTTGATAATAACATTACATTACATTTCTGACTACACATAAGGGGCCCTAACTGGCCGACTCCCTCAAGTGTTCGAACGAGAACTTAATAATGTAATAAACTCCTCCAAAAAGTTACCTGTACAACGGGATTGTTATTCATATACTGTACCAGACTACAAGCAGCTGATTCTAGCAGCCTGAGTGTGACTAGACCACCAACCAGGAGGCTTGGTCTGAGGCTGGGCTGGGAGGGCATTGATTCAGTGAACCACTTCAGGGATAACCTCAAGATAATCTAATGGTTTACTTATACCTTAAGCAAGATGATGTAATTTAAGTTACAATGAATGCCGTTAAAAATAGACAAACTAACGGGTCTTGTTAAGAGCAATGAATATGAAACGACCAGGCTTTTCTCGTGGTAAAGTGATTATATTTCCTGGCCCCACTCCCTGGCCACTCTCCCTGGCCACTCTCCCTGGCCACTCTCCCTGGCCACTCTCCCTGGCTCAGCACCTGGATGTCAATCTTGATACTTGTGATGCTCTGAAGACTTAATAAGGTTCCAATAATAACATATTTGTAAACTGGCACGTGAACCTTTGTTTTAAACATAATATTCTCATATTATAAATATTGTATTATAAATCCAGGATTTAAAATATAAAGTATCTGTGGTATAATTGTTTAGTTTGGTACGCTGTAAGGCAATAGTTTTCTTTAATGTCAAATACTAGGGGATACTCAGTTTTTTAACTTCAAATTTCACATATTTGAGAATAATACCCTGTTTTAACCTAACCTAACCTATCCTGATCCAGCCTTGCCTAGCCTAGCCTAACCTTAACTTAACCATAAATAGGGAGTAGATAATAGCACTAATTGCATAGTGGTTTTGAAGTGATTACGTAGAGGGTACATCCTTCCTGAGGACAGGTTATCTTGAAATGATTTCGGGGCTTAGCGTCCCCGCGGCCCGGTCCTCGACCAGGCCTCCGTTTTGTCACACCCCCCCCCAGGAAGCAGCCCGTAGCAGCTGTCTAATTCCTATTTACTGCTAGGTAACAGGGGCGTCGGGGTGAAAGAAACATTTTGCTCGTTTGTCTCCGCTTCCACTGGGAATCGAACCCGGAACCTCAGGACACCAAATCCGAAGCGCTGTCCACCTAGCTGTCAGGCGCCTACAGGACAGGCAGGTTGGAAATAATGTATACTTTTTTGGAGGAATGAACGTTAACAATGAATAATGCCAAAAGCAATGATTTAAGGCCAGCATCGCTGATTTAAAGGTGTTAGGAAAGGGCATGGTTGAAGCAGGTGTGGGATGGGTGTCCTTGAAGGAATTAGTGGCAAAAAACAGGTGTGGGATGGGTGCCGTTTGTGTATCAGGGATATAAAACGGGTATTATACAGCCCATAATTTGAGGAGAGTTTTGTGGAATAAAAAGATGTGTTGAATATAATAATAAATAAAAGAATGACAACACTGGTCCTAATACAGGTGTGTGAAAGTGTATACTTGTGTATATAGAGGTATGTAGCCTTCATAATATTACAACCTGTTTAATACAGACGTTATATTAAATATAGATTAATAATTGTGACTATGACAGCGCACTAATTTGCAATTGAAAAATGGGAAATTGTACAATCATTTTCATTAAGATGTTTTGATTGATAAAGATCAAATGTACATAATTACCTTATGTACTACACCCTAATATGACATACACTAGACTCGACATTGAAAGGTATATTTATAACGCTAGTTAACAATGTTGTCAGGTTGTGGACTGTGAGGATCTGGTGTTGATGCCTGGCGTGGTTGACTCCCACGTGCACGTCAACGAGCCCGGCCGGACCGCCTGGGAAGGCTTCAACTCCGCCACCAGAGCAGCAGCCGCCGGGGGCATCACCACCATTGTTGACATGCCCCTGTTAGTTTGTGTTGTATGTGTTGCTATGGTCCCTGTTAGTTTGTGTTGTGTTGGTATGGTCCCTGTTGTGTTGTGTGTTGGTATGGTCCCTGTTAGTTTGTTGTGTTGTGTGTTGCTATGGTCCCTGTTAGTTTGTTGTGTTGTGTGTTGCTATGGTCCCTGTTAGTTTGTTGTGTTGTGTGTTGCTATGGTCCCTGTTAGTTTGTGTTGTGTTGTGTTGGTATGGTCCCTGTTGTGTTGTGTGTTGGTATGGTCCCTGTTAGTTTGTTGTGTTGTGTTGGTATGGTCCCTGTTAGTTTGTGTTGTGTTGTGTTGGTATGGTCCCTGTTGTGTTGTGTGTTGGTATGGTCCCTGTTAGTTTGTTGTGTTGTGTGTTGGTATGGTCCCTGTTAGTTTGTTGTGTTGTGTGTTGGTATGGTCCCTGTTAGTTTGTTGTGTTGGTATGGTCCCTGTTAGTTTGTTGTGTTGTGTGTTGGTATGGTCCCTGTTAGTTTGTTGTGTTGGTATGGTCCCTGTTAGTTTGTTGTGTTGTGTGTTGGTATGGTCCCTGTTAGTTTGTTGTGTTGCTATGGTCCCTGTTAGTTTGTTGTGTTGTGTGTTGGTATGGTCCCTGTTAGTTTATTGTGTGTTGTATGTTGCTATGACCCCTGTTAGTTTATAGTGTGCACTCATAAAATGTTGTATTATATAAATTACTACCTGAAATAGTTTATCTACGATAGAACTAAAAGGAAGTCGTGAAATTAGCAAGGGTCTTCTCTCCCTTAAGACATTTATCTATTTGGTTTAACGGAGTTATCAGCAGGTCGCAGTGTAAGGGTTAACTAGTCACAGATTTAACTGTTAACCGTAAGGACTGTGGAAAGGGAAACTTGACAGGACAAATTTATCTTGTGAAGAACTGATGAGGTAAACATTGAAATATCTGACTTAGTTTTGTTTCGGTAGTAATGTTATTTGTGTAGTTATCATGTATACACTCTGGCAGGCCCATCTCTATGATGTATCTTGTGCTAAAATAATATTTGTATTCGACTAATGTGTTACTGGTAGCTAGGAACACTCGGAAACTTTTTACGTGTTTTACGGTATTTCGGAACACACCACAGGACCTGTTGTAGGCAGCTTCAAACTCCACTGGATCTGAATTACTAAATTAGTAGCTAGGAACACCAGAGGGCAAGACTTGCACATGTGTAGTTAGGAACACCACAGGACGAGTGTTACAGGTAGCGAGGAAATCTAGGTGTAGGGTTAGGTTATCTTGAGTTGATTTCGGGGCTTTGTTTTTTAGTGTTCCCGCGGCCCGCACCTTGACCAGGTCTCCATCCCCAGGAAGCAGCCCGTGACAGCTGACTAACACCCAGGTACCTATTTACTGCTAGGTAACAGGGGCATAGGTCGAAAGAAACTCTGCCCATTGTTTCTTGCCGGCGCCCGGGATCGAATCCGGGATGGAGCACACTGGATCAAGCCCAGTGTGCTGTCCGCTCGGCCGACCAGCTCCCTAGGAGCTGGTCGAAGAGAAGTTACTTCGTTACTTCGTAGCTGGTTACGAAGAGAAGGTGAGCAACGGTGGTGATGGTCTTCCAGGTGCAGCCCCTCACCGCCCTCACACGTGTGTATTGAAGACGTACAGCACAGCGGACATGTTTAGTGGTGACCGTGTTCAGAGGCGCTCACACACAGGTTAAGATTGTAGTGGAAGTTTGTAATAAATATATAACATGTACTGTAATATTAAGTTGTATATAGCGCAGAGTGGTGTTGCAGGAACTCGATCCCAGCGACGACGACACTAGAGGCGTGGAGAGTGAAGCTGACGGCGGCGGAGGGTCAGTGCTGGGTCGACGTCGGCTTCTGGGGCGGTGTTGTGCCTGGTGAGGGACCACTTTATGGCAGCTTCCTTCTCCACTAAAAGTGCTTTTAAATTTAAACTTTAATTTAATAAAAATAAATTTAATAAAAAAAATAAATTTTAATAAATTTTTATTACGACATAAATCTAAGCAAAATTTTATTCGATTTCATTTAGATATGACACTAGAAGGAAATTGCATGGTAGTTATCTCAATGTAATTAGCCTTTGCTTATTTTTATTTGAGGATGCAAATTATCTAGAGCATTTGCTAATGTTTCTTTAATAGTTCACATGTGCCATTTACCATGAAACATCTTGATGGTTTGATCTGAATATTTGGGTGGAATTTGAATAGTATTTGATATTTGTATTATTATACCCTACATAGTTTATTCTATAAAGAATTGTATGTAAAATTCATACATAACAATGTATGATTGTAATATTTGTTAGTTATATACAGTACATACAAAATGTATGTTATCAAGTCACTATAGACATGAGTAACGGCCAGCCTGAGGTGATCCTTTGATATTTGGCTTGGGTCGCGGACTCCAGCCTCAGGGCGGCCCTTCCGCAGGAAGCAACTTTAATCAGTCGCTTCCTTTCCTTCTTGTACCCGCCTAGCCCGAACACCATCTCGACGCTGCTACCAGCCTCCACCATGTCCAAACTCTACAAGATTTTTGTCACAGTTGCTCGGGCCTTCCTCCTCCACTCCTCCTAGTTGGCCTCACACAGGAAGGACCACCCCATTTCTTCACGCTAATCGTTCTGTTCCATTATTATTTTGTTGTTTACAGTTCATAGCAGTATATTACTTAAATAGTTCCTTAAAATACTTACTTTACCTCATAACTTGCGACAGGTAACGCCGGTGAACTCCGCAAGATGGTTGACCACGGCATCTGTGGGTTCAAGTGTTTCCTTGTTCACAGCGGCGTTGATGAGTTTCCAAGTGTCACTTTCGAGCAAGTGTCAAAAGCTCTCCAGGAACTAGTTGGCACTCAGTCTATTCTGCTGGTATGTCATATTACTGTTACCTCTTGACTAAGCTAGTCCATATTATTACAAATGTGATTGACTAATGAATTCAATGTAGCATTTTATAGACGCATCTGAATGTGTGTTTAAAATTCCATGTTAAGATTGTAAAGAGTTCCCAGTTGGTCAGACGGGTAAATATCTTGACAAGAGAATTAAAGAACCCAAATATAGTATAAGAACAGGTCAAGAGTCCAATGCATTATTTGTTCACTTCAGAGATTGTAATCATTCAGTTGACTGGGGTAATTTGTGCAAAATTGTAGTGTAAATCATTTACGGAAAGAAATATTATTGAATTTTAAATATTAATAAATTTTCATTTATCAAAAGTAGTGAATTAGACAACTTAATGCAAGTCTAGGATTCTGTAAATTAGATAGCTTTATAATTGGTAAAAGTTGTGATGGGTATAATATTATGTAAAGAATAAGGGTATGTGTAGTATATTCCAAGAATGAGGGCATGCCCAGTTAATATTCACTTAATCACCTCGCCTTCATGTTGCTTCCATTAAGCGATATTTTTGCTTACGAATATTTGTCTAGTCAGGTGTAATTGGGCATATAATCCCAAGCCCATATAGCACGGGCTCTCACTCACGGGAGACATCTCCTGTCACGCAGGGTGCAGTTGCATCTCCACAGATCTCCAGTATCAGCTCTTGATACTGGTAATGGCTCAAAAGGGCCACCACTTACGGGCTATTCATGTCCGTGCCACCTTTTGGGTGGCTTAATCTTCATCAATCAATCAGCACGGGCTCACCATAGCCCGTGCTACATGGACACTTTGTTCTGAGTAGCTAAATCTGAAACAACAACGTTTTCTCTACAAATTTCGAGATACTCATGGCCGTGCCACCTCTAGGGTGGCTTAATCTGATTCAATCAATCTTCTCATTGATGCTGCAGCAGTAGCATTAACATCATCATCTCTAGTTACAGCCCCGCTCCTGTGCCAGGTAAGTCCACTACGGGCTCACCATAGCCCGTGCTACTTGGAACTCTTTGTTCTGATAGCTGAAGCTAAACTAACAACGTCTTCTCTGCCTGTAGTTCTTCATATTGTGTTGAAACACACCAAAACCAGAGCAGAAGAGTTGGCTTTTCTGCCCTGGCTCATATTTTAACCCTTTTTACCAGAGGAATACGTGTTCACGAAAGTACTCGAGTGGATACCCAAAATGCAAACTCAAGTTAAAGTTATCTGACGAAATTTGTAAATGTCAAAAACTAACACGCTATTATGCCATGTCAAGTTTCTCAACACCTACGGATGGAGAAAGCCCAGCAAACACCACTGAAGCCAGTGATAGTGCACAGATAGTGGGATGTCTTTCATCACAGAAGGGAAAATGACTGTTTCGTGGAACAAGTAGCCACTGAGCAGAAACAGAAAACAGGAAGCAAATTTAGTGATTTCAAAGAAGTGATATAAAAAAACTGGCTCATAACAGTTAATTATGAGATCACATAAAATTCTTTAATGCAAGACATAGGTTTTATTTGAATTAAAAAACAAAAACAGATGCATATGTAGAATCAAACAGGGATTACAAGGAGCAAAACTAGTTTCATGAACACAAATATTTTGGAAAAAAAAAAAATGAAAAATGGCCAGACTGATGAGATCCTGGTTAGTTTACTCTAATCAGGAAAAAGTTGTATATACTGTTTTGTTTGTAAACCTTTCTCCCCCTCCCTTTCCTGCCCGTTGTTGTCGTGAGGGTGTAACACGGGGAGGGTTTCTCGACTATCTTTCCTTCTTTTTTTTCCCTCGATAATAAAATAATCTAATTTTCTAACTTTTACATAATATTATACCCATCACAACTTTTACCAATTATAAAGCTATCTAATTTACAGAATCCTAGACTTGCATTAAGTTGTCTAATTCACTACTTTTCATAAATGAAAATTTATTAATATTTAAAATTCAATAATATTTCTTTCCGAATGGCCGTTCATGTTTAACAAATTTGCTAACTTTTTATTCCAGCATAGTTGAGGCAGTTGATAGTGGTAAGGATTGTGATGTTGTGTACCTTGACTTTAGCAAAGCTTTTGATACAGTGCCACATGAAAGACTAATTAAAAAAATAAAAGCTCATGGTATTGGGGGTGCTATATTAACTTGGATTAGGGCATGGCTATTCCAAAGGAAACAGAGTTAGTATAAATGGTGTTAAGTCAGAGTGGGATAATGTTGTTAGTGGAGTACCTCAGGGCTCTGTCCTGGGACCTCTGTTGTTTATATAAATGATTTAGATTCAGGTTTGAGTAGTAACATTTGCAAATTTGCCGATGATACGAAAATCAGTAGGGAAATTAATTCGGAAGAGGACTCGCTATCACTTCAAGTTGATCTAGATAGGGTTTTGAAATGGTCAAATGATTGGCAAATGCAGTTTAATGCTGATAAATGTAAAGTTCTGAGGCTAGGTAATGATGATAGAGTTACAAGATACGAGCTAGATGGTGTTGAGATTGCGAAGTCGGATTGCGAAAGGGATCTGGGAGTTATGATTAGTAAGAATTTAAAACAAAAGGATCAATGCATGAATGTTCGTAATAAGGCGAATAGGACACTGGGATTTATTAATCGAAGCGTTAGTAACAAGACACCTGGTGTGGTTCTTAAGCTATATCTTGCTTTGGTTAGGCCCCATTTAGATTATGCAGTTCAGTTTTGGTCGCCGTATTATAGAATGGATATAAATTCACTTGAACGTGTCCAACGTAGGATGACTAAGTTAATTCCCCAAATTAGAAATCTTTCATATGAAGAAAGATTAACAAAGCTAAAGTTGCATTCACTGGAAAGGCAAAGAGTTAGGGGTGACATGATAGAGGTTTACAAGTGGATGAATGGACATAACAGGGGGGATATTAATAGGGTATTAAAAATATCAACACAAGACAGAACACGAAACAATGGGTATAAATTGGATAAGTTTAGATTTAGGAAAGACTTGGGTAAATACTGGTTCATTAACAGGGTTGTTGATTTGTGGAACCAATTGCCGCGTAACGTGGTGGAGATGGTGTCCCTCGATTGTTTCAAGCGCGGGTTGGACAAGTATGAGCGGGATTGGGTGGTTATAGATAGGAGCTGCCTCGTATGGGCCAATAGGCCTTCTGCAGTTACCTTTGTTCTTATGTACCGTTCCCTTCGCAGATGCACTGTCGGATGCTCGTCGCCTCCGGAGACGGCAGAACTTTATGCTATTTTGTATGCTTTTCGTCAACTGCTTTCTCGCTGTCAATCATCCTTTGTTGTTGTAGTTGACTCTCGTAGTGCCCTCTTGGCTATGGGGTCCTTTAATCCAGTCCATCCTGTGGTAGTCAAAATTCAACATTGAATGTTTATCTCCAGTAGATTTAAGACAGTGAAGTTTTGCTGGGCTCCCAGCCTTATTGGTGTGTCCTTAAATGAGTGTGGTTGCTGCTGCTAAGGAGGCTATCCGCACTTGTCCCATTTCCCGTAAAGGTGTTCCTTATTCCGACTTCCCAGTTATTCATTGCTCAATCCTTGTCCGTTGTCTTCTGTTACTGGTAACAAACTGTGTGCTCTTAAGGGTAGTGTATCCCCATGGCCTTCCTCCACCGTAACCTGCGGTGGGAAACGGTTCTGGCGAGGTTGTGTATTGGCCATACACGTTTAACTCGTGGGCACTTAATGGTGCGCTGCTCTGCTCCTTACTGTCCAAACTGCGTTGTCCCTCTTACAGTCGTTCATATCCTTGTTGAATGTCCTGACTTTCAGGACGAACGTATCTTGCTTCCCGACCGTCCCTTGGGGTCACGTGCCCCAGGATAGAATTCTTGGTGAATCGGATACCTTTGATATCATTCGCCTCATGCGGTTTTGTTCTCCTATTGGCATCCTTAATTATTTTTAGCGCCCCTATGATTATCCCGCACATCTGATTGTGTTACATAGCCTTCCCGGCTTGGTGCCTTCTTTTGATAATTGAAGTCGGTGACGAAGAAACAGGATATATTGACATTTTACGAGCTATATTGAGTAATTACTTACGTCGTAGTGATAGTGATAATGCTGGTGAGGATAAAGACGAAAATAGTGTTTTCGGGATAGGAATGAGGATGGGAACGGAGTCCTTTTGCCGAGGACAGGAGCGGCCGCAACAACATTTTTGATTATGTTCATGTAGAGTGAAGATGGTTACAGTGAGCATGGTCGTATGTTCTGTAAATAGGGTTGAAGACAGTTTGTAGTAAAGATAGTTATGAAGATTGTGTGTAGTGTAGATGGCAACAGTAAGTTTTACTGTCTGGTAAAGTACCAAACAGCGGCCTCCATATACCTGCTGCGAGCCTCTCCAAGTTTTTTGTATACTTGAAATTTGTGGAGCAGCTTCGTGCGTTAAGAAAAAAGATTTACACGTGTATTCATCTGGGAACTTTGTTTTTGTATATAGTTTTAAATTTTGTTTTATTTGGCATCTATGTTAAGACAAACGTCCTTTAAATGTTTATTTTATGAATTTATTTGATTAAATTAGAATATCCTTTTGTTTAATCATCGATTACAGTAGCACTTGTTTTGATCACTTGTCATGTATAGCTTGACCACTTGGGCTAGTTGGCGCAACCTGTCCTCCTAATAGCATAATAATATATTGGCATACTATTATGCTATATCATAATAGTATAAGTCGCATTTTGACGTATACTTTACCTCAGGCCAACAACTGTCGTAATAGAAAATGGTAGCGGGTAGCAAAATTGATATACTGTCCCGTTTTCTGTTTTGGGTCCTCTGGTAGGTTAGGATAAAGGCACTTAAGTACGACAGTTTCTTGACGCTGGGAAACCTTAGGAGGACGGGCAGTACAGTGACGACCTCGCTTCTTGCTGGTCGTCGACACACAGTTGCTGATGGTTCAAGTGGCCAGCCAGCACTCCGTCATGACCCTATAAGTGCTATATAGTCATTCCAGCTCGGCGCGCTCTCATTATCATTCCCTATTATTTATTTTCCTTATTTTTCTTATGTTCTGTTTGTCGTATTGTCATAATTTGTATTTTGTTTCCATCTTAACAGTTCCACGCTGAGTGCGACGTTGGCAATACTGTTACTGATGCAGGTAATCCTGGTGTGAATATTTTGTTAATATTGCCCGGTGTCGGGGGCAGGAAGTGTGGGTACTTAGGCGTGGGGTGGTTACACTTGGCCATCACCTCACCTTCCTTATTATGCAACTCGCGGGTACCTATTTTGCTGCTAGGTGAAGAAGCATTAGGTGAGACGTGCCCAACCGTTTCTGGCCGCCCGGGAATTGAAGCCTGGTCCTTTGGTTGTGAACAGAGTACCTGTGCTACAGGACTCATTATATAAATCACATGGTGTATAACCAACCCATCCTCCAGAAATAATATTATGTAGGGAAGGATTATAAGATGGATCTTGATGAAGATCGAGTCTGGTATTGAGTGAAGTTGGAATTTGGTAACATAACGATGATTGATGAAGATTAAACCACATAAGAGGGGGCATGGGCATGAGTAGCCCGTAAGTTGTAAATGAACAAATCCACAAGGGCCGTGACGAGGATTCGAATGCACACCATAATTACCTGCTGGTTTGTGCCTCGGAGAGGCTACGGGATCCAGTAAGTTCAGTAGAACTTCGGTTTAACTCTTTTTTTTTTTAACCCTGTCGTAGCTCAGTCGATTAAGGCAGTGTCTGGGATGCTCCCGGACGCAGGTTCGAATCCTCGTCACGGCCCTTGTGGATTTGTTCCTTTGATGCATCACGTTAGTGTGATCTGTGTGTGTAAGTGGTAGATGTTTGGAGTGAATGTGATATTTAGTGGTCCAGCATAGGGGGGTGGCCTGGGGCCTTCCTGGCTCCTTTGTTGGCGTCCTCTAACTCACCAGTAACCCTGCAGTGTTTGACGTCAGGGACCCCCTCTCCCTCGACACAAGACATATTTTATATTGATAGGCTGTGAGGTTACTGTAAATGGTCTCTTGAGATTATTGTAAATGAGCTGCGAGTTTGACAGATGATGATCGTTTCTGAGTAATAGTGTCAAATCTGACAGATGATTTGATCTTCGGTATGTGTTAACGCTGACAATGTAAATGACAAACAATGTAAATGTGTGTAAATCCTGAGAATTAATGTCGGCTGTTGACATAATGATTGACCTAGAGTATTAGTGAAGGCTGTCAGGAGATAGTGGATCAAATATTAGTGTCAGCACTGACAGACGATTGTTGCTTCTTCATGTTCCAATATATTACACAACACTAAACATTATATTTTCTCCTCAATTTTTTTTATGCAGTTGCGTTGATTTTATTTAGCATCAGTTAACTTTCCAGATAAGATTTTTGTTTTAAGTGAACAGTAATATATTATGCAGACGATGAGTCACAATAACGTGGGCTGAAATATGTTGACCAAACCACACACTAGAAAGTGAAGGGACGACGTTACGGTCCGTCCTGGACCATTCATAATCGACTTGGGAATGGTCCAGGACGGAGCGAAACGTCGTCGTCCCTTCACTTTCTAGTGTGTGGTTTGGTCAACAGTAATTTATTAATTACTTACACCTGTTACAAATTATCCTGAAATCAGTGCATAAAGAGTAGTTTAGAATAGTATTTTAAAACGCGACTTCATTTTCAGACCGATTAGGATGTTACCAAACCTTTCTCAAGTCCCGACCCCAGGAAATGGAGGAGGTGGCCATAGAGCAGATCATCAGTCTTTGTGAACAGTTGAAGGTCTGTATGCTTCGTTAAGTTGAGTATATATTGTAGAGCTGTGGGAATTGTACAGCAGTGCAGTTCCTACAGTTCGAATCTCTCGGTGGTATATCACTTGGTGCTGAAGATAGCTTCTGAATGTGTGTGTCATTTCTGGAAACACAAGCCAGACTTTCAAGGCCGATGCTTCCTGTCTTACCTGTCATGTTCATCTAAACTGGAGATGGCGTCATCCTGTCACAGCGTGGAACGTAAGTATGTTCTTGTATTCTCAGCTCTCAAGCAAGAGCAATCTAGGCAAGTATTGGATGAAAACTGCATTCATACCCCTTGAAGTTGCTCTCTGCGGCCAGCTTCAGTATCGGGAGAATGACTGTGCCATTATCCATTAAGTTGGCTGTGACGGGAGCTTCTGTTTCAGCATCACAGAGCTCTCCCAAACATGTGCAGAGATTATTTTTCTACTACGATGTGAATTTCCTTCATTAGAGTGCGAGAGAATATTCAAGAGTCCCGTGACGGTGGAACCCTTCAAGGTCACCATTCCTCGTCTGGCAGCCAATATACAGCCACGAAAGAGAGATCATCATCATTCTTCAGAAGAACTCTCTCAAGTTTCGTTTGTCGACCTTTCATTTAAAAGAGGAATTGGCTATCTCTGAGACAAATAAACATAGATATTCAAAATTAGTTAAACTTCCATTCAGCTTGTAGAACTTGTAAAATATATGGATAAAAAAAAAACTATTTTGAACAGGAACATTTTCGTGTTTGATCAGGTCCGGTGCCACATTGTCCACCTGTCAGCGAGCAAGACTCTGCCCATGATCAGGAGGGCACAGGCCCGAGGTGTCCCCCTCAGTGTGGAGACGTGTCACCACTACCTCTCACTCTCTGATGACCACATCCCTGATAACGCTACACAATTCAAGTGTTGTCCACCGATAAGAGATACACACAATCGGGTAAGAAATAGATAAGAATATTAATGTTCAAATTACAAATGTGTTAATTTAGTCTGTTTTTCGCGGTATCTGACTAGTGAAATATATTAATTGTCCAGATATCCTCAGAAAATTTTAATTGTCCAGATATCCTCAGAAATCCAACCAGATAATAAGTCACTACTGGACTTATCCAGCAGTGACTTATCCTTGTCCTCGTGTCCCAGCTCCTTGTCTAAAGATCACTTTCAGTGTCAATTACACATACTTTCTTAGGCTTTTTCCTCATAATTTCCTTTCCTTTCCATGTTCATTATCAATTAGGTAACCCAAGTCACCGTGATATCTTGTTGCTTTTCTACTCCCATTCAGTAAATAAAATATATTATCTAGTTAAATATTTGTGTGTGTGTTTGAGGTGTGTGTTTGAGGTGTGTGTGTTTGAGGTGTGTGTGTTTGAGGTGTGTGTGTTTGAGGTGTGTGTGTTTGAGGTGTGTGTGTTTGAGGTGTGTGTGTTTGAGGTGTGTGTGTTTGAGGTGTGTGTGTTTGAGGTGTGTGTGTTTGAGGTGTGTGTGTTTGAGGTGTGTGTGTTTGAGGTGTGTGTGTGTGTGAGGTGTGTGTGTGTGTGAGGTGTGTGTGTTTGAGGGTGTGTGTGTTTGAGGGTGTGTGTGTGAGGTGTGTGTGTTTGAGGTGTGTGTGTGTGAGGTGTGTGTGTGTGAGGTGTGTGTGTTTGAGGTGTGTGTGTTTGAGGTGTGTGTGTTTGAGGTGTGTGTGTTTGAGGTGTGTGTGTTTGAGGTGTGTGTGTTTGAGGTGTGTGTGTGTGAGGTGTGTGTGTGTGAGGTGTGTGTGTGTGAGGTGTGTGTGTGTGAGGTGTGGGTGTGTGAGGTGTGGGTGTGTGAGGTGTGGGTGTGTGTGTGTGAGGTGTGAGGTGTGTGTGTGTGTGAGGTGTGTGTGTGTGAGGTGTGTGGTGTGGTAAGGAAGATGATGATGCCGCATAGCTCACAACATACGAGACGGTGAATATTGTTGTTTTCATGACATTGATGTTGATGTGAGACGTGAATTAGTTCCAGAAATAAATTTTTAGTTTTCAGAGAAGTCATTAATTAATTTTTATTAATAGCTTTACATTCCTTTAATTTAATATTTAAACAGTAGTAAATTATAAGAAAAATAAGAACTGGGTTCTACGTTACAATGTTACAAGGATTTCTCCATCTATGAACCATTTATTTTTGGGAAAAGGCACAGCAGAAGAACAGATTTACACTTGGCATGGATGACAATGTGATTGGCAAAGACTTAAGGTTTCAGAAGAAGATAGGAAATGTCAGCATTGTGGAGAAATGCTCAACAAATCACTGGAATTTTATGCAATGGTTAGGATGAGCTAGCCTAAGCATTTTTATTGGTACATAAATGCTTAGGCTAGCTCATCCTAACCCTTGCACATACTCTCCACAATTTCTTTATTGAAGGTCAGCATTAGTTCCTATTTTAGTCATTCATTTTGAACACACTCAGAATGTATGTTACAATTTGTACTAAGAGAGACAACAACTGCACTTTCCTGCACCGTGGGAGATGAACCACTTTCCAATTTTAATCTCTTCCTTTCCACCGAAGAAGCAAATTAGAGATCAGCCCAAGCTTCGTCTTGAGGCAAAGCTCAACGCCTTAAGCCATACTGATTGTCAACAAAGCATTAACGCGCTCAGACCTACACTGGTTCCCTACACCGCTCAACGGGTGCAGCTGGAAGTGCAGGTTGTCCTGACAATGGGTGAGGGCCTACAGTTTGAGTGGGGAGTCCGTATAAACCACTTTCAGACCGAACTATTTGCTTTACTTCTTACACTCAAATGGGAACAAGTCTCCAAACTTCACTCATTGTTTGTAAGTGATTATCATCCTTAATTACGCTCAACTATTTAAGACACAATTGTAACATGCTCGTGTCTGAAGCAAGACACAAATACAAGAACATTGTTAATGATGGTAACTGTGTCCATCTCATGTTGGCCTCCAAATGCATGATTGAGCTGACGTTACCCAAGTATGTCTTCGAGGAAGGAGTTGACTTTAACTTAGGATTGTCTATAAGCAACTTAAGAATAACAATACATTAAGAATTTCAACAAAATTTTGTAGATATGAGCAAGGTGAAATAGATACTAGCAATTCCGTCTCGTCATACTATAATGCACAGCCCATCTGCACACAGGTCTGTGTTCCGTCCAGGCGAGAATGGGTCTGCACACCCTTGTAGGGCTCCCCCTCAAATATCGACCATGAAAAGGAAAACGTGACGAATCTTACATGATATTAGCATATTAGTCCTCTTCCTTTTATTTTAATTGTAAACAAATGTATTAATGTCGCTCAATTTCACAATGTGTTATCAACCAGAATGTCAATGAATTTCACGTTTAAGCAACGTCGTGTGCTTGCTGAGTAAATTTTAACTTTCTCTGTAGAATGAGCTTTGGGAGGCCATAAGGGACGGCACTATCCAGCAGGTTGTGAGTGATCACTCGCCCTGTACACCGGACCTCAAACAGCCTGGCAAGATGAACTTCATGGAAGCTTGGGGTGGAATAGCGTCATTGCAGTTTGGTAAGTTTACTTTAGTGTGTTGGGAAGGTGGATAGAAACAGCTGCTTATCCTAGTTATCGTACCTGGACCATTTATACCTTCCAACATTCCACTACTCTCTAATACTCACTCTTGAAGTTGAGTGGTGGTTGCTTCCACCGTCTCTGGTTCAAACTTGTTCAGCTTGTTCACCACTTCATCTGTGCTTCCATCAATTTCCACCTGTGCTCTCTCGTTCTGTCTTGACTCACGTGGATAAAGACTGTCTTTCTAATTCGACGTTTTCTATTACCCTCGGTATATCGTTCATGTCGTGATCATAATACCTTTAATAGTGGTCTCTTCTACACTCATTAAATTTAGTTCTTTTGGCCAGTTGTCATAGTTCATCTCTTATCGATGGACCTCTTCAATGTTCTTCATTTACCAGGCACGGGTTCCATGCTGGAGCTGCGTGTTCTTAACCTGGTCTGACGTACGCTGTGGACAGTGTTTTGAAGGACTGATTGATTAATTTCTTAAGGTTAATTCCTTTATGTTGTGGGATCATTTTGGTCAGCTAGGAGTCCAGAGATACATGTTGCTCTTCAGATTAAATTTGCATCTGGGAACACCCAGTGCATAAGTTCGAACCCTCATCACGGCACATTTTAGACTCCATAAAATATGTTTACTAATTGTATTATATAAAGTAAATTGCTTTCAGGAACTAACTGTGCTTTGAATAAACTTAACTGTTATGGACTCACAATTAAGATTTTGTTATGGACTTTATATATTAACTCTTACTAATACTAATGATGATAATACTACTGATACCGATACTAATTCTACTACTACTACATCAACCTCATCGTCATTAAAATACAGTAATAATAGTACTACTAATAAACTATATTGAGAAAATCTACAGGAGCCGTGATGAGGATTCGAACTCATGCGCTGGGTGTTCCCAGATGAAGGCTCTAGTCGACTACGCCACGACATGGTAAAATAAATGCAACCTGGGGTACTACTGCACCCTCGAGGATTCCTGAGGCTTCCACTGAAGCCGAACCAGGGCTTCACACAATTCCTCACATGCACTCTGGCTCTGTCGTCAAGTAATTCTAAATCTGACGCCCCTATTTCAATACACAGTGTGTATTGAAATGTGTGAAGCCCTGGTTCGACTTCAGTGGAAGCCTTTGGGATCCTCGAGGGTGCAGTAGTACCCCAGGTTGCAATTATTTCACAATGTCGTGGCGTAGTAGACTAGAGCGTTCATCTGGGAACACCCAGCGCATAGGTCTGAATCCTCATCACGGCTCTTAAATATTTTCAAAGTGATACATCATGATGCTGTGATTTCTGTGTAATTAACTGTTACCTTTTGCAGGTCTTTCCCTCTTTTGGACTGAAGCCAGCGCTCGTGGGTTTACGGTGCAGGATGTGGCGAGGTACCTGTGTGCGGGGCCAGCCAGCCAGGCCCGCCTGCACCACAGGAAGGGGGCCCTCGCCCTTGGTTATGATGCTGACTTTGTTGTCTGGAGTCCCACCGAGACGTATACGGTAGGCTGGTGGTGTTTATCATCTCGTTATTGGTATTGGTATTCTACGGTTGACGTGTGTGTGTGTGTGTGTGTGTGTGTGTGTTTGTGTGTGTGTGTGTGGGAACAGTTGGAATATGAGGAGGATGCGCCATCTACCCCCGTGGACGGACATATTGTATACTTACAGCTAGAAATGGCTATGTAACTCTCTTGCTTTTCAGTAAGTTATATATATAATGGATTGCTCGTTGATTAACTAATATATACATTTATTTCTTCCAGATTGATGAATCCATCATCCACCATAAAAATAAAGTGAGTAGTTATTATAAATGTTTATGCTTTTTCGTTTATAAAGATATTTACCTTAATGAGTTGTTCGTATGTAAAAATAGATTTTAGAGGTTTGGGAAGGTTCAGTATTAAAATTAAGTGTTCTGTGACTATTTGACGGCTCAACTTTTCATTTACTGAAAATAGAGAATGTGGAAATAATAATCTGGAGTAACCAGGCAAGAACCTTCTAGATAAAATTAACTTTGGTTATGGATCGTCAAGTATAATTGTCAAATCTCATGGACTGTTGAGGTGATGAAGAGTTGAAGTCACCTCCACGTCAGAAAGGATGACAGGAACCTTTGTTTGAGTACGGCAGGTAAGGCGGTGGCTCATGGTGCACCAACCAATACATTTCACAGGTGAAGGAGCCAGCTAATCAGATCCCAGCTCTGGTTAGAGTGTGACATTCGCGTTGTCAAGTCACATGATCAAGTTGTGTTCCGGTTAAATGAAGGGGGGCCTCGTAGCCTGGTGGATAGCGCGCAGGACTCGTAATTCTGTGGCGCGGGTTCGATTCCCGCACGAGGCAGAAACAAATGGGCAAAGTTTCTTTCACCCTGAATGCCCCTGTTACCTAGCAGTAAATAGGTACCTGGGAGTTAGTCAGCTGTCACGGGCTGCTTCCTGGGGGTGGAGGCCTGGTCGAGGACCGGGCCGCGGGGACACTAAAAAAACCCCGAAATCATCTCAAGATAACCTCAAGGGGCAGTTTGGCCACAAGGTGGTCGTCTTAATAGCGCAGGAGTCCTGAATCATTGTGAACGCCACGGGTAGTGCAGATGAAGGAAGCCAGTCTTAACTTCAGGTTCCTGACCAAAGAGAGAGGAAGAACCAATCCGAGCGAGTGGTATTGACCATGTTAGAGAGAATCATAGACCACAAAGCCAACAAACAACTTTGTGGAGACGTTCATAGAGTCGTGGTGGTCTCAATGGTGTTGGATTACGCTGCTGATTATCAATCAATCAGGGTGTTTGTGGAGAGGACTTCTTGTTTAACTCTTACTGATCACCATTATGGATATAGTGTAGTGTGTAATCTCAGTGAAGAATGGAATCAATAAGGGAAACATTGATAGTAAACAGTGCATAAAGGCTTCAGTGACATCATTGGCATTTTGTATTGAGCAAAAAGGTTTCTTTGTGCGTTCAGCATTTTTTTTTAACATATCGGGTACAGTGTGCAGCTGTCGTAGACTATATGAAGGGTTGCAGAGTAGTCCAGAGCTAACTACGTCATGATAAAAAATCGCTATCACACAGGATGGTAAGTGGTCACTATCACACAGGGCCATGTGATCAGCAGTTGTACTAGTAAACTTTCGACACATTACGAGGGAATAGTCAAGTACACGAGAGTGAATAAAGCAGCAATGATAATAAAAATGTCCCCTATCTTGCAGAATGGTTAGTCATACAGGATGCATTATGAGGATGTCCCCCAAGAACACGAGTGTTAATAAAATGTTTGCAAAGTTCCAGATACCTCATGCCAGGAGACTGAAGGGTGAAATGACAGAGCATTCAATAATGTAGTGAGAGAGATCATGACCCAGTTCCTGTTCACAGAATTTGCACCTGGAGTGATCAGGATTGGGAGATCCGTCACCTGTAGCCACCTGCCACAGGTAACGGTAACCCAACCTGATCCTGGCAACCACTGTGTCGCACAGTCTGGTGGTCGTTTTGTGCTGTCCATAAACATAGGTTTCTGATCTGAACAAATAATAGAACAATAGATTTTTATGCTGGTTCTTTCAGGCCTTTGGCAATCACAAATTTCTCTCCTATTAGACCTGAATGTTTGGAACAATGTCAAGATGGGGATATCTAGGTATAATTCAACTTCATCCCTGTTACATGCTTATTTGGATGCAATGTCTCTGTCAATATGGTTGGTTACATTAGAGAGATGGTATTAGTACAAAAGATTCTTAACACTATTCTGTGCAGCGATCACGTTATTGATAATTGTTCTTGTGAAGTTTTTCTGAAAATTTTGTAGAAGTTTTCAAATGATTGAAAAAAACACTTTGAATCACATAAAATTATTCCTCATAGTATTCTTTAGTGTACTGGTAACTAGTCGCATATAAATGACCCAGTTATATAATACTTGTGTGTTCTAATAACACAAGTATTATTAGGAATAATACTTGTGTGCAAGTATTATTTGTATGAAACCTACATGCTGCTGCAGTCCGTCCAGTAGAAGGTTGGACTGATCCGTCAATGTAGACACAGTGCTCGTGAGATCTTAAATTTTCGATGTAGGAGGCAATTGTTTCAAGTGTGACAGCTTTGAGAAGAGCAAGATTCGCATTACCTTTCTTGGTGACGGGTGTGTGTGATACTTGAATGGTGGGGCACAGATAAAGAGGAATATCGAAGACAGGTAGATTGCATTTACAAATAATGCTCAGTTTGATGAGATTATAGGCATTTTTACTCGGCCATTTATCATAAAAGGAGTGAGTCGGCATGTCGGCTCCAGGCAATTAGGTGTTAACAGCACTGAATAATTTGTCTGAGCATTGCAGATGAGGGGTCTCTCATGACTTTAAGGCAAAAGGTCGTTTTGACTTGCATGATTCTCTCTAATATTGTTGGAAGCATCATTTCCTCCCTCATGTTGATGATTCTTGTGCATCTTGGGGGACCAAGAATTATCCTCGTGGCTTCATTCTGTACTACTTCTAGTTTGTCGAACACAGAGGCGGGGAAGTTAAGTGCAAAGCATTATAATCAACGAGAGGTCTAACAAACATTACATAGAATAATCTACCGTATTTAATATTAATACCAATATTCTTACCAGTGAGTGTTTTCTGTGGTTTAAGTTTTTCTTTTAACCTACGGTGTAAATCGTTTACAATGTCACTGTTGATTCCAACTCCAAGGTATTTGTGCTGCCTACACGTTTCAATGTTCTTGTTGTTGACCTTGAAAGTTATAGGGACATGAGTTTTCACTTGGGGGGTGGAGAGCCCTGGATTTAATTAGAGATATAAGAAGACTACATTGAATGTTCTTAGCAGCGAGTGAATAAAGTAGAGCTTGCAGTCTAGTTTGGGTACTTGCAACAATGCATATGTCGTCGGCATAACAGATGACGGCTTCGTCAGGTAGTGGTGGAATATTAATTGTTAATTTTTGTATCAGAACATTGAACAATGTTGGCCCAAGTACTCCGCCCTGGGGTGTACCCAACTCAAAGGGCACACAATGTTTTCTTTTGACCCTCCTTGAAAAGGTCTCGAGCGGTTCTATTTCTCAGGTAACCCCCTGAGCCATCTTGATGTTATCTTGAGATGATTTCGGGGCTTTAGTGTCCCCGCGGCCCGGTCCTCGACCAGGCCTCCACCTCCAGGAAGCAGCCCGTGACAGCTGACTAACACCCAGGTACCTATTTTACTGCTAGGTAACAGGGGCATAGGGTGAAAGAAACTCTGCCCATTGTTTCTCGCCGGCGCCCGGGATCGAACCCGGGACCACAGGATCACAAGTCCAGCGTGCTTTCCGCTCGGCCGACCGGCTCCCTGCCATGTCAGCAGTCTTCCCTTAACTCCAAAAGAGGCTAGTTGTTTTAAGGTTATTTCTCCGTTTGATGTATCAAAAGCAGTTTGGAGGTCAATAAATGCCGCCTGAGAGCTTGGTCCCTGTCTAATAAATTATTCAGCAAAGCAAGTTTGTGTGCTGCTTCCGGGAAGGAAACCATACAGGTTAGGAGCAAGGTGGGACCTAATTTGAAACATTAGTCTGTAGGGTATAATCTTCACAAGAACTTACTTTTTTTTTAACACATTAGATACATCTGCATTTGTGCAGTTACCCCTAGACTATATGAAGGGGAGTACAGTGCGTCAAAAAAGCTAACCAGGTGATGCTAAAAAATACCCATCACACAGGATGGTTAGTCATACAGAGGCATGTGATAAGCAGTCTGCACTGGCAGACTCCGGATGCATTTTGAGGATATCAACACAAGAGTGAATAAGGCAGCAGTGGTAATAAGTCCCCATCTCGCAGGATGGTTAGTCGTACAGGGCCATATATTTAGTAGCCTGCACTGGCAAATTTTGGGTACACTGTGAGGATATCTTCAAGAATACGAGAGTGAATAAAGTAATTGCAAAGCTCCAGGTACCTCATGCCAACTGGTCTGAAAGGTCTAATAACTGGGCATTCAGTGATGTAGTGCGGGAGATAATGCCGTAGTTCCTGCTCACAGAGTTTGCAACTGGAGTGCTCAGGATTGGGAGACCCGTCACCTGCAGCCACCTGCCACAGGTAACGGTAACCCAACCTGATCCTTGCAACCACTGTGTCGCACAGTCTAGTGGACGTTTTGTGCTGCCCATAGATATAGGTTTCAGATCTGAACAAATCATAGCTTTTTATACTAGTACTTTCAGGTCGTTGGGAGTCGGTAATTTCTTTCCTATCAGACCTGAGTGTTTGGACCAATACAGTTTTGACAGCAGAGATATATACCAAGAGCTAATTCAACTTCATCCTTGTTTCACACTAATTTAGCTGCAATGTCTGTCTCATTATGATGGGTTATAATTATGTGTAAAGGTATCCATACAAAGGAGATTCGAAACCCTTTACTCTGTGCAGCAATTAGGTCATCTATAATTGGGAGTATGAAGTTCTTGCTGTCGATCTTCCAAGAGAAGTTTTAGATTGCTTGAAGAGCAGACTTTGAATCACAAAATATTATTCCTCCTCCCCATTGTTTTTTAATGTACTGGTAGCTGGTTGTAATGCTGCTAGTTCTGCTTGTGTGGAGGTCAACCAGTTGTTTAACCTGACACTGACTGCAGCAGCCTGTAGGTTTTATAGGAATATTTGGATTTTCCACTGTGGGCATCAACGTAAGAGTCTACGGTGTTCCACATGACATGTTCAAGTACCGCTCAAGACGAGCGCTTGTCTTTCAACAAACTGAAACGCTTCGAATTAATCTGGTTCATTGTGCTTCTCCCGCTTTCAGTGATGCTGGTCTTTATTTGTTAAGGCTCCATAGGTAAAAAGTATTAAACACTAATAAAATCTTTTAGATGTTTCTCTTAAAAGTTGTCAACACTGTCTTCTCTTCTCAGTTAGGGAAAGGATGGCTATTAGGCCTACTTTGGTAAGCAAAAAGGAGGTTATGCACACGGTAACTTTTCCAGATGCTGGTCAGACCCAGCGGTGCTTAACTTGATTGATCGAGTGACAAACACATCATTCACTATTCCGCACTCTTCACGAAAAAATCGGTTCCGCAATGAATAATGCTGCTTGGGGTTGAACTCGTGGTAGCAAAACTCTGAGGAGACTAAGGGTTTCTTGTTGTTGGGGGTGAAAGCATCTTTAGATTTATTCTGGGGTTTCTGTTGTGGGTTGCCTAACTCTCTGGTTCCTAGTTACTGCTTGATGAACAGAGTCATCAGGCGAAACGAAATGTGCCCAAACGTCTCTATTCGCGCGGGAATCAATCCTGGAGGTGTTCGGTTATGAACCAACCACACCGACCACTGTGCTACAGGTCCCAAATATATATTCAAGTACCGAGCTCTGGACAGCCTCGACATTTCAAATTATTACCTTACATATTAGATGTTTTGTATATTTTTATCTAGTAATATTCTTGTCATATGCTCTGCTAATTATTTATTTATTATAACTAATTTCCAGCCATTTCATTTTAAATTTGAATGGATGTTAAAATTAATACCATATTTTGTCTTCTTGTTTTATAGATAACCCCCTACATGGGCAAGACTCTGAAAGGTAAAGTGTACAAAACGGTGCTACGCGGGAAAGTTATATTTGATCACGGAAACTTCTGCTCGTCTACGCCCACTGGAACTTTTGTCTTTGCATCAGATAAGCTTAATAAAAGTCTGAACGTCTAGACAATTTTATATAATGATGAAATACCATTTTGTGGTCAGTGATTCGCACATCCATTGCAAGATAATACTTGCTCGCCTATCTAATAATAATAAACTACTGGGAGCTGATATTCCGTGGCAACAGTACTCATGGTAGTGGCAATGAGAACTGATGCTTAACGAGGATACTTGCTCTATAATCTTAGCAATACTGGGAATAGCGAAAAAGTCAATACCTATCTTTCAATATGATAGAACCATTTTTTTGGTTAAAAACCATGTATTATTTTTTTATATTAAAACTTATATTTGAAAGGATTACAAAAATGAAGTTTTCCTAGGCATTTTTAAACTACTTTCCATTGAGGAAGTATTTCTGCCACTTATAAGGCAGGTGAAGGTCTGCGATTGACTGAAAGCATAGATAGCAGGACTGTTCTGTCAGAGCGAGAAGGGGCCCTATGTATGCTTCCATTGGCAGATGTGAGCCCTAGGGTGCACTCGGTCGTAATCGATTATCAGTGACAGCTAAGCATGGCGCTCTATCCTGTCTCCTTATTGCGTCACTGAAATCAAATAAAAGGCTCTGACAGTAGATATCAGAGTCCCAGCGGCACTGTTCAGGAGAGGAGAGATGATTAGGTGAAGCCAACTGGGACCTGAATTGCTAATCCAAAGGAGAAAAGAGCCCCCTGGAAAAGTCGTAAGTAGATCTACACAGATCAGAGGGTGATGCGACAGCGGTCACGGGTTGCAAATAACAGTTGTAGTATTACTGATGAACTGGCCCAGAAGCTACAGCTTCATCACGAAGAAGAGAATCCCTTTGGCAGAGTTTGAGACTACATCACACAACAATCCGTCGTCCCATTAGAAGAAAGGTATTAACAGCAAAGTATTTCATTTGCGTAGTGAAAAATCTGTCCTTGGGGAGAAGGTACCCTAGAAGTAATCACTTCAAAACCATTACGTAATTAGCGTTATTATCTACTCCTTATCCATGGTTAGGTTAGGTTTCGTTACGTTAATATGGTATATCATTCTCAAACGTGAAGTAAGAAATTTGAAAAATTAGTATCCCTTAGAATGTGATTTACAGAAAACCAAATACTTCACTCCCGTTCTAAGAAAACGAGTTAAACATAGACTACATATTAAAACAACGATTTATAGCAGTTATAGCATGATGATAATGTGTGTTTAGGGGCAAAGGTTCATTTGCCAGTTTACAAATAGACTATTATTGGAACCGTAATATGCCTTCAGACCATCACAAATGGGTAGATAAATATCCAGGTGTTTAACAAAGACGGCTGGCCAGTTGTTGGTATTACTTCACCCTGAGACCGGCCCAAATGAAAAGATCTTCTCATCCCTAATGGTTATTAAAACAGACTTGGACCTGAGTTAGCAAATTATTAAAGGATCATGTTAAGATGCCTCCCTCTGGAACAGCGTTATCAGGAGGATAATTTAACTTTGTTTAACATGGTGAAGGTCGGTGTAGGAGCGTCAAGACCCCGTCGCAGCAATGGAAGAATCTGAGATTTTTTTATTTTATTTTATTTATTTTATTTGTACAAGAGTTCTTACATTCTTCTAAAGCCACTAGCACTAAGGTCCTTAATGTAAACGGCACTAGCGTTTCGGGCAGGTCCTTATCCTAATTTTTCCCCAGAATACGACTCGCCAAATCATTTAACAACCGGTTGCCCATTCACTTTGTGTGAACAGAGGCTATAGTTAAGGATTGGCGCCCGGTCAATCCTACCCGGCCAGGATACGAACCCAGGCAAAGTGATTCAGAAACAAGTAGTGTATTGTGAGGACTAATAATAAACAGAAGCTCCCCTATGACTCTGTAATATCCCCATTGGTCAAACTATTATGTATTAGCGATAAAACCTACCATTAATGTACGATGACTTACTGTAAATATGTAGCTTTTGTAATAGCACTTTCTCTGTAACTAGCTGACATTGTATCTATAAGGTGTGAAGGATAGACGAAATTGTTTATGTAATAATCTAAGATGAGGTCTGATAAAGACCTTTTGTGCCCTCTGTAATGCTTTTGCGCGATAGCTCACAGGATGAGTATGGGGTGCACAATAAACTAGCCGCCTTCGGCGGCAACAATCAAATCAATCAAAGTGCTCGTGAAGCGCCGGGTGAGTGTTTTACCACTGCGCCACGGGGACTTGTAACGATACCTGATTTTGTAGTGGGGAACCCAGTAGTCTGTGTTGGTATTATGATATTGCTCACCGTGAATTAAGAGTTCTTGGAGAAGCTCAAGGTAGACAATTACATTTAACAGCCTCTATATATATATTGTTATAGGTTGACTATTCATTATTTTATTGCAATGTGAATTCACGATTGGTTAGGCTAGGCTTAGATATATTTGTAGATATTAAGGCATTATAATACAACCAATTATGTTGTGTATTTTGGTATTCCGCTGTTTGTTGATGTGACTTTAGTGTCACTTGTGTTATTTACTCAATAAACTTATTGCATTTATTTCATTCATATTTTGTTTCAATAGTGTGTATCAGAGAGCAACAACTAAATAATTATGTACCAAGTACAGTTACATAGTACTGATTACTATATATGTAGTATGTTTATATGGCTCTGGATAATCCATAAGCAAAATATATTTAAAAGTGGTATACGATTTAGAGCAAGTGTCAACTAGGATACGTGGGCATAATTTTCGTATTTGTTCTGTTCCATTTATTTTTAAAGACTAGTCTTATTGGTGTTCGTGTATCCTTTACTAAGAAAGTTAAGAAAGTCAATGTGTTTATTAGTATCCTCTTCCTGATTAGTAATAGTCTGGGTCAAGGTAACTAATTTCTGGTTACATCAAAAACTCGGTTGGATTCTGGCGAGTTAATGAATAGATTCATGTCAACAGTATAATCACCGTTTACTCATGTCTATAATAAAGTAAAAGTGGAGCTTAAATATTAATCTAGTAACATAACAATAGGGAGTGTAGCAACCAGGTAATATTACTCCAGCTACTCCAAGTGAACCAAGCCACAAGGGCTTCGCGTATTGTATTTATCACTCTGGAGGTCTTTGACACTCAGGAGTATACCCAGCAATCCTGTGACATCAGAGTGGTGAGATGTCCGAGATAGGAGCCGGCCTGAGGAGAAGGGTTATCCAGGATAACTACGGTAAGTTTCATCTGCATTACACACAAATATGTGGCAAATATAGTGTGACCAAACTTTTTTTTAATACTTTTACGTGATAGTATTCAAACCATCCTCAATATGCTGGATGTTAATGATTGAAAAATATACTGCATATGAAACAATTGATAACGCAACCCATTTTCAGACTATTCTCGCCCAAACTGTTTCCGACCCTTAGTCCTGTCAACCCGCCTGATGATCCTGGTGAGAAGGATAAGGCTGCTTTAGGGACCACAGATTCATCCACATATAGATGGTCTGTTTTAATGACCACCAACTGATGGAACCTTGTCATCACATGGGGCTCTGGGTGGGTGTTCGTCTCTTAGGGACTGTGTTGTTTCGGCATCACTATTGCACTACAGTGTTTCCCTCTTCTTATTTCTTGCTTATTGTTGCTCTAGTTTTGGATGTTTCAGATATGCCGTCAAAACATTTCCTTCGATGATAATTTGTTTGCACAAGTGGGAAGGCGTATCTGTTTGTCCTATCTGGGAGAATCATGTATGGCTTTAATGACTGAGGAAGGTAGTGCTTTGTCTCTCCAGGAAAAGACAACTAGACATGTGTTGCCAAACAGGAGGCTGTGCTATGTTAATCGTTTTCAGGATGTTGGGGATTTTGGCTGCTGCATGGAGTCGGGTTACTTTTGCGATGTGTTGCAAGGTTCCTACCGACGTCGCTTCGATAGCTTCCTCTAGGTAATCTGTCGAAATAAAGCTGCAGGATGTTTTTTCCCCAATAGCTGGTGTGAGCTATTGATTGGTGTTATTGAAAGAGTGCTGAGAGGTAAGACAACACACATGGAGTCACAGCGTCTGAACACTGAACAACATAAGTTGGGCTTAGAGCAGGACACTATTGCCTATCACAATTGCTAGACCACTGTAGTATGGCCTTACATGACATGATACAAGCAAAATCTGATGTAATACTATACACAGATTTCGCGGAAGCTTTCGATAAATATGATCAATTTGTAACAGTATAGTATGTGGTCAAATAATTTCTGGCAGAATTGGAAGATTCAATTTCCTAATGAAGAACAAACTGTGTCCTAATTACTTCCTAATGAAGTAAATTTTAAGTGATGGTTTAATGAAGAAAATGACAAATTATTTTTGAGAAAATATTAGGAAACAATTATTATTAATAATAGTTCATCATTTGTAGTGTATGGCGCTAAGCATTTGTTTTCTAGTGGAGGTGAATAACGGCGCGCTAGAGAGTGTCGTTGTTTACTGTGGACTCGTGCCTCCACCGTCAGCATTGAAGGACATTGTTTTAACTGTGATCATCGAAAATTTCAGTTGAATTCAGAACAAGATCTGCTTAAACTTACCGGCACACAGGCTAGGGCAAGCACCCAAAGGAAGCACTTGACGGCTGCACAAAAGCTGGAGTTAATGTAAAACCTTGACGATGGATAGTCTCATGCACGAGCAGCAGCAGCAGAGTTGAACATCGGCTGAAGTACAGCAAGTGGCATCAGAAAGCAGAAGGAAATGCTATTGAAATATGTGAGCACTATAGAGTGTGGTACGTATGGTGGTGCATGTTTGAGGGAGGAAGTAATGGATGGTATTCACTGTTGGATGCTGAACTGTTTGTGGTATATTCAACACCGCATAATTGTCATTGCAATACGATTTGAAGAGTTTAAAGTTGTAACAAATACATTTTTCCTTCAGTTAGGTATAAACGCTTTCACTGCTAGTGATGGGTCGACTGGGAGAGTTAAGGCTCAGCATAACATTTTCAACACCAACAAATAAATTTCTGGCGAGGCTTCAATTGCTGATCTCATTAATGTTAAATTCTTAAAATATAAATTAAACCAGTAGGGTGTACGTAATAATTTAAGCAACTATCAGGTGTATAATGGTGACGAAACTAGTTTTACGTGGAGAGCTGTACCCAGTAAATCCTTGACGAATAAGATACGGGAAAGTATACCTGGACTAGTATACCTATACCTAGTCATGAATTCGAAGGATTTGGAAATGTAGCTAACGATTTTGAAGGGTTTAAAGAAAGAATCCGTACAATGTTCCTTTATGCTGGTTAGGATGTAAGCGTGAATGACATCAATGAATAGTTAGAAAATGATGAAAATGTTAGTTATAAATTGTTGATTGAAGATCAAATTGCTCAAAGTTCTTGGAAATGATGATGATGACTCGGACGATAGTGACGAGGCTCTGCTCAAGGGAGTCGGATATCAAAAAAGATTGTAGCAAATTGTCAATCTCATTGAATATTCAAGAAAAAGTAAACACGAGGTTGTTGGAGATTTATATATATATATATATATATATATATATATATATATATATATATATATATATATATATATATATATATATATATATATATATATATATATATATATATATAGTTTTTAGTAATGTCTCAGCAAGTTAGCCAGAGATAATTTGAGTCAGACGAAAACTTATACATTCATAATTTCAACTGTAAGGGAAAGAGATCTTCGTCTACATTCCACGCATCATGCTGGATTTCCGATCAAGTCATGCAGCATCCACTGACCATGATGTGAATGAAATGCATTTAAATTTGTGTAAAAAGTGTACAGTACAGTACTGTAAGTTATGGGTTAACAAATTAAGCTTTGCAAAAAATACTTATCATATACATTGAACTGTACATAATGTAGACGCAGAAATGTTTCAGTAGTACAAGTGTGTTACAGCTGATAGTCAACATGTTTTAATAATGTGCAGTGCATTGATCATTCGCGAATTAGCAGTAGGATCACTAATGTGAGGTGAAGGCCTGAAAAAAAGTGTAAAGTATAGTTTTATAACATGAATGATAGAAACTTTGTACAGTATACAGTGGCATGAACAGTATTGTACTACACTGAACAACAGTGTAGGATGACGAAGCAGAAGATGACGTAAACTTCACAGCTTCATAATCTTCGCAGTACTAACACGTTGTACTGAACGGGGTGAGAATAGCTTGAGCTACCTCATCCCTTTGTGTGTATTTTACCTCAATAAACTTATTTCAATTTCAATTTCAATCTTCGCAGCTCGTAAAACGTAAGTGATTTCATTTATTTTATTATTACAACATGAAATATTAATTATGTTTTTCAACACTAGCAATATATCAGTGTCTGTACCTGTATGTTCTATCATTAGCACAAAAAAAGTGAAGTCGCAAGATTTCGTCTTAGTTAGGTCTCGGGTCAGCCCGTCTTCCTGAGGTTTCCCAACGTCAAGAAACTGTCGTACTAAAGTGTCCTTATCCTAACCTACCAGAGGACCCAAAACAGAAAGGACAGTATGTCAATTTCGCGAGCCGCTACCATTTTCTAGTACGATTACATTACGGGCTCACCATAGCCCGTGCTACTTGGAACTTTTGTTCAGAGTAGCTGAATCTAAAACAACAACAACAACAACAATAGTACGACTATTTTTGGCCTTGGGTAAAGAATACGTCAAAATTCGACGGTCTATTCTGAGGACGGGTTGCTCGTGTAGTGATTAGGCTCGAGCATCATTTTTATCTCTCTCCGCCACAGCCTGTGTTGTAACATTAACAAAATATTAAAAACATTTTATCCTATACAGGGTAAAACAAAACACTTATATTTTTTGTTAAGA